CGGCGCCGCCGGGAGGACGAGGCGGCGCGGCGCCGGGAGCGGGAGCAGCGCGAGCGCCAGGCCCAGGTGCCCACCTGGAAACGGGAGCTGCTGCAGCGGCGCCGCGCCCGGGCGGGGCCGGGGGGCACGGCTGGCACACCTGGGGGCACACCTGGGGGCACACCACCTGGGCAGGAGGGTCTGGAGGGGTCCCTGGCGCTGGCGCCCGGGATGGAGAATTGCGGCCGTGCCGAAAATCCCACCCGGGATCCCCAAAATCATCCCCAAAATCCCACCCGGGATCCCCAAAATCCCACCTGGGATCCCCAAAATCATCCCCAAAATCCCTCATGGGATCCCCAAAATCATCCCCAAAACCAGACCTGGGATCTCCAAAATCATCCCAAAAATCCCACCTCGGATCCCCAAAATCCTCCCCAAAATCCTTCCTGGGATCCCCAAAATCTGCTCCAAGATGCTGAAAATTCTCCCCAGAATCCCCCCTGGGATCCCCAAAATCCACCCCAGGACCCCCAAAATTCTCCCCAGGAGCCCCAAAATTCCCCAAATCCCCCCTGGGACCCCCAAAATCCCGAAATTCCGGCCCGGGGCCGGGTCAGCCGCCTGCGGAGCCGCTTTGTCCCCGAGCCGGGGGGGGACGAGGGGCATGGGGCGGTCACTCTGGGGTCACCTGGCGGTCAAGGGTCAGCCAAGGACATAGGAACGGTCAAAGGTCATGGAGTGACCTCTGGCCTGGGGACGGAGGAGGGACAGGGGAAGGTCAAAGGTCACGGAGTGACCGCTGGCCTGGGGACGGAGGAGGGACAGGGGAAGGTCAAAGGTCACGGAGTGACCGATGGCCGGATGACAGAGGAGGGACAGGGGAAGGTCAAAGGTCACGGAGTGACCACTGGCCTGGGGACAGAGGAGGGACAGGGGGCGGTCAGGGGGATGCTCAAGAACTGGACGGTGCTGGACGGCCGGGGGGGTCAGGGGTCAGCGGGGACACCGGGGACAATGTCCGGCCACCAGCCCAAGCCCTCGGTGACCCCTCCGATGGCCACGCTGACCACTGCCCCTGTGACGTCACCGCTGTCCCCTCCCCCCTGGCCCTCGGGGTCACCTCCCCAGTGCGGGGGCGGGGCCGCGGGGGCGCCGGTGGGGGGCGCTGTCCCCAAATCCGGGGTCACTGTCCCCAACACCGGGGTCACTGTCCCCAGTGCTGGGGTCACTGTCCCCAAATCCGGGATCACTGTCCCCAATGCTGGGGTCACTGTCCCCAAATCCGGGGTCACTGTCCCCAATGCTGGGGTCACTGTCCCCAAATCCGGGGTCACTGTCCCTGTGTCCAGTCCTGTCCCCAACGCTGGGGTCGCTGTCCCCAAATCCGAGGTCACTGTCCCCAACACCGAGGTCACTGTCCCCAAATCTGGTGACACTGTCCAGCTGTCCAGTTCTGTCCCCAAACCTGAGGTCCCTGTCCCTGTGTCCAGTTCTGTCCCCAAATCCGGGGTCACTGTCCCCAAATCCAGTGCCACCTCCCCCGTGCCCAGCGCCACCGCCCAGCCGTCCCCCCGCCGTGACCCCCCGTGTCCCCCCGCGTGTCCCCACCCGGCCCTGCAGCGCCGCAGCGGCAACACCATCACCGTGCGGCCGCGCCGCGCCGGCCCCGCCGCCGGCCCTGGTGGCCCGGGAGGTGGCCCTGGTGGCCCTGGTGGCCCGGGAGGTGGCCCTGGTGGCCCCGGGGGCGCGGCCGAGCCCCCCAAGAAGCGCTACCCCACGGCCGAGCAGATCCAGGTGATCGGGGGGTACCTGGCGCTGCCGCGGTCCTGCCTGGCCAAGGGCCAGCCCCGGCGCAAGAAGGTAACGGGGGCGCCGGGGCCATCCCCGGGTGTCACCTGTGTCCCCAAATGGCTCACATGTGTCCCCAAGTGTCACCTGTGTCCCCTAAGTGTCACCCCTGTGTCCCCAAGTGTCACCCCTGTGTCCCCAAATGGCTCACCTGTGTCCCCAAGTGTCACCTGTGTCCCCAAGTGTCACCTGTGTCCCCTAAGTGTCACCCCTGTGTCCCCTAAGTGTCACCCCTGTGTTCCTAAATGTCACCCCTGTGTCCCCAAGTGTCACACCTGTGTCCCCAAGTGTCACCCCTGTGTCCCCTAAGTGTCACCCCTGTGTTCCTAAGTGTCACCCTTGTGTCCCCAAGTGTCACCTGTGTCCCCTAATGTCACCCCTGTGTCCCCAAGTGTCACCTGTGTCCCCTAATGTCACCCCTGTGTCCCCTAATGTCACCTGTGTCCCCAAGTGTCACCTGTGTCCCCAAATGGCTCACCTGTGTCCCCAAGTGTCACCTGTGTCCCCTAAGTGTCACCCCTGTGTCCCCTGGTGTCACCTGTGTTCCTAAATGTCACCCCTGTGTCGCCAGATCCCCAATTTCCCCCAAGCCCCCCCAAAAATCCCCAAATCCCCCACAAAAGTCCCCAAATCCCCCCAAAGTCCCCA